TCTCGCGCCATGCGCAGTTCGGCTTCGCGCGCGGCCATCGCCTCCGCCATGCGTCCCATCTTCTCCTCGTACTCCCGTCGGCTGGCCTCGTGCTCCTCGCGCAAGCGGTGCGCCTCTGCTTGCACCTTGGTGAGCTGGCCTTGCAGATCGCGCATCGCCTCGCGCAGCTCCTGGAGGTCCTCGCGGTGTTTGTCGTCCTTGGCTTGGAGGAGCTCCTGTATGGTTCCGCGCAACTCAGCGACCTCGGTCTTGTACCGCGTCAGTTGCTCCTCGAGCCCCGCCTTGACGTCCTGTCCCGCGTCCGTCTCCGGAAGCGGCTTGTTTTCGTCCACCGTCTCGCGTTGGATCTGCAGTGGCGCAGGCGTGAAGCCCATGATTTCGCGGATTATGCGGTGAGCGGATTCGACCGTATTGTCGTGTCGCACCATGCGCGCACCCTTTTCGATAGCGGACTTGAAAAAGATATCTTTCTCTGCCATTTCTCGTTCGCGCTGTGCGGCGAGAGTAGGGTTGACGTCGCTCCACATATTCGTAGCGATGAGGACGTTTTTGAGCGTGGCGTCGCCGCAGAGCTTCCGGAAGAGTCGAAAGTTCTTGCGCGCCATGCCGCCCATGCGGTGGATAGTGATGTTCTGCATGTAGATGACGCCGTTGAGCGTTCTACCCTGTTTGTACCTACGCAAGCATGTCAAATGTAAACCGGAGAGAGATATAGCAGTGCACGCACGTCGCCGAGAGAAAAGCAGAAATGAGACCGAGGACTTCGGCTTCAGTCTTGGTGGTGTCGTCAAAGCCGGGGGTATCGATGAGGGTTACCACCTTTCCATCTAGTAGGAAAGGCTCGGCGACCACGACATTGTCGGTGCACGACTCCAGGCTTCCACTCTCTTCAAGGCGTGAGTTGCTGGCACGGTTGACAAACTTTCCAGACAAGGAGTTTGAGGAGAGGCACGCCTCAAAGAGTGCACCTTACCGTCGATTTTCCCGAGCCAGTCGCGCCCATGATGCTACTAAGAGTTTAGCTGGGTATTTCATGAAAAGGATGTAGGACGTACGCAATGGTGACGGTGTCGTCTCTCGATATCGTGGGGTTCGCGCTGGCGCTCATTTCTGCTAGATGAGCTGCTCTACAGCTGAAGATATGCGGGCCTCGCCGACCGCAGTGCAGGCTATATGTACCTTGGAACGGGGCGGAACCACATCATGGACCATGAAAGCCGTATAAAACGTACGTGAAAAGCATGCGGTAGCCATGCTAGCCAAAACGCCGCTGCAGTATCGTCGCGAATGAAGCGTGCTCCTGTCTCTGAAGGTCTGCTGATGATATGCGATCAACATGCTACCCGTGAGCTGTAGAATAGGGATACGCGGATAGACTGTGCATTCGTTTATGGACGGTGCTTCTCGGGAAGACCCAGAGCAAGGCCGCTGCACGACGGAGTCGCGCCGCTGGGCTCGCGACGGAAACGAGGTGCCCATGTCCCAGGCCGCGCGGAAAAAGAGCAACCCACCGAAATATATTGCTTCGCCATCACGTCATGAGTATTGCGTGTGTGCACAGCAGAAGAGGTGAGAATCGAGCATCGCGGAAGACGGCCCGGGAGACGCCATAACGAGAGCAGAGAACTCATCGGTATAAACACGGCGATCGTTCCCACTCGCCAAGGTCGGAATTTACTAGTATGTTACTCAGCCAACATCGCTAATAGCCCGAGGTTGGGTGGCTGTCTTTGAATGGCCTGTAGTACGTGAGGTTGTGCGCAAGAGCCCGGCACATCCTGCCAGCCAATCACAAAGCGTCATTTGGCGTTATGTAATATTGTTCCTTTTCAGGCGTAAGCGCGGGACCTCCCTTAACCTCCGACCATGACGCCCTCAACCTCGTCAAAGACGAAACCGAAGTATATTAGGCGAAGTCGACGCGTGGGTTCAGCTTGATCTTGCGAATGGGGGATAGAGGCGTCGAGAGCACGACGCAGAGGAGTGTTGAGTTCACCCGCGAGTTTATGCGCTTGTATGAGAGTACAGTATCTTGTACTGACAGCTAGCCTATAGCCCAGCCGAAGCCTGTACTTTCCAATATCACCATAATCATGAAGCGCTGCGTCGCGCTCACGTACGCTATACGTGACTGCGAACGTAAAAGCCGACAGCCGCGTACGCACTCGGTCAGATAAGCCGAGTTTTCTCCGGAGATGGTCAACTTGTACAAGCGGGTGCGGATACACTGCGAAGAGGCTTTGTCATACCAGAGGAGCCGAGACCTCCGGGACTAGGTTGTAGGTTCGCAGCATCTTCATATCATGATGCTTAATCTTGTGCTTGACTATGGGGCGCTGTCAGTAAGCTCTAGTTTACTTTCACGGGACAAAAGCTTTCCTCTTTGGTTGGATAGAGGCCTAAAATATATTTAATATTTTTCGCAAATAGGCCTGAGCTTTTTTACCAGAAAGAAATGGTGCCATTATCTGCAGCAAAATCAAGCTACACAATTCTCGTAGCGATCGTCTGTTCTCTACGCCCGTTTTCTTACAAAAAAGGTGACCGTTTTGGATAAATTCATAAGCGCACACGTAATATTTCCAGATATGAGTTTTAGACCTATATCTACACAAAGGTTTAACGTTTATCGATTTATCTCGTGTTTGGGCTACGGCGCTTATTCCGCAGGCGACGCCGACGATGTCATATTAAGCCCGCCAGACTCGGAATATGGATGCATCGCGACATACGTTCCCTGACGATTCCAGGCTATGACAAGCAAGCAGCAGAAGACACTCTTCTGTTCGAATATCCAGGGGACTTACTCCGTCGAACTCATCGATGTACCCGAGCTCGGTCCCGGGGAGGTCCTCGTTGAGCTGCAGGCCGTCGGGCTGAACCCGATAGACTGGTTCATGCGTGAGCGGGGGTTGTTCGTCCCCAAGTGGCCTGCAATCTTTGGGCTTGATGGTGCGGGTGTCGTCATAAAGGTCGGCGAGGGCGTTGCGAATATCGAGGTCGGAGATCGAGTGTACGTGCTTCTATATATTCATGCTTGATCAATGTGCTGATTGCTTTCAGAATGCACGCTGGTACCATGGTGGAGCCGAAGATCTCGACGTTCTTGCAGTATGCTGCTATCAAGGCAGACTTTGTTGCAAAGGTATGTTTTATCTGCGCCTGCTATGCGCTGAACACCTCTCAATTGATGCGCGTAGGTTCCTGATAACATTTCCTTGGACGAGGCCTCAACGATCCCACTCGTGCTAGCAACCGCAGCTTTAGGCTTGTACGATAGCAAGCGCTCGCCCCATGGCGGCCTCGGTTTGACTCCGCCTTGGGAGAAGGGTGGACGAGGCAAGTACGCCGATGAGCCTATCGTCATCAATGCAGGCTCCACCTCTGTGGGGCAATTTTGTCAGTTCATCTCCGTGCTTTATCACGAAAAAGGTACTAGCGCGCGACGCAGTGATCCAGTTCGCCAAGATTTCCGGGTTCTCGCCCATCATCACGACGGCGTCGAGGCATAACGAAGAGTATCTCAAATCGCTTGGCGCGACGCACATCATCGACCGCACTATCCCACTATCCTCTTTACCTTCCGCGGTGCACGCGATCACGGAGAAGCCGATCGTGTATGGCGCAGACGCAATCTCGACGGCTGAGACGCAAAACGCAATGTGCGATGTTGTCGCACCCGGCGGAGACCTACTCATCGTCACGCATAAACGTATTGCGAAAGAGAAGCTTGAGGGTGGAGAGAAACACATCGCTTGGGTGTTTGCTGACGTACAGTACCCATCGGCACGGCCGTGTGGACTGGCTTTGTATGCAAACATGACGGGGCTGCTCGAGAGGGGCGAGATTAAGGTGGGGCACATCATACGTCAAGCTCTGTTGCGCAGCTGTATTAATACAGATCTACACAGCCTAACAGGATTAAGATCGTCTCTAGTGGACTGGCAGGGATACCTGGTGCTTTGGATACGCTTAAGAGTGGCGTCAGCGCGTTGAAGCTCGTCGTTCGTCCCCAAGAGACTCCATAGTAACTTGTCCAATATGGAGTTTGATCGCGATTATAGTGGTCCATTAAACAGCATAATGCTGGCTGGCTGGAACTGATGCTCCTACTCAAGCCTGATCGGCACGGTTGGTCGCGGAGTGGTATGCCCGACGTCCAGCGGCTGCGCAACGCCACAAAGGCGTAGCGATGCTACCTTTTAGCTTCTGGTTCCCCCGCATCCCTAGATTGCTCCCACGCTAGGCTAGCAACGTCTACTCTGATATCTCCCCTGGCGAACTCTTCTGCGTAGCGACTCGGCAAAGCCACAATGCCTTCGGCGCGGAGCTTAACTGTCCTGTCCAGCCTCGGTGAGTCATCCCAGCTGAGCCTATTCGAAAAATGGCAACCAATTGAGTACGTGGGTCAATAAGACGCAAAGCAGCCACCGGCATGATTGCTCGACACTTGTCGTGATGCGCTGACTGAGTATTCAAGAGTTAACCCCAGGCAGCCTCGAAAATGATTCGCACAACTCACAGAGATTACGGATAGGATTCTGATGGCAAGCAAAAACCATGATGGTGTGGGTGCAAATCATGCACGGCTCGCATGCACAGCGGACTGCGCGCGGAAGGATCGCGTACGCGATACCTGATCATTGGCCCGTTGTGATGTTACCGCCATCACCGTCGACATAAGAGCCAGAGATATCGAAGGTATCGCCATATAGTCAACTTACAAGCCACTTCCCATGCAACAGAAAGTTCTTCTACTCACAGGAAAGCTCGCGGAACCTGGTGGTAAGTTCGTCATCGACGTCAAGGATGTCCTATAGCCTGGCCCTGGATGCGTTCTGATTGAGCTTCACGCAACGGCTCTGAACCCCGCGGACTGGAAGATGGCAGAGTCGGGCCGCCTTGTCAGAAAGTGGCCCGCTGTCCTAGGCTTCGACGCCACGGGTGTCGTCAAGAAGCTTGGGGAAGGTATCACAGAACTCGCAGTTGGCGACAAAGTGCAAGCGCGCTTCAAAACTTTCGTGTGAATGCCATTCACTGACGTATACGAAAGCATGCATGCCGCAACATTTATCGATCCGGTAGTGACCACATTCCAGCAGTACGTCGTTATGAACGCAGAATTCGCCGCGAAAGTTTGTACCGCCACCGTTCCTGCAGCAATGCTCACGCTGATCGTTTTCTCGATACCCTTAGACCCCTTCGAATATCACCCTGGATCAAGCTGCCACCATCCCTATAACTGTGGCGACCGCCGCTCTTGGGCTGTACGACAAGAAGCAGAAACCTCATGGCGGTATTGGCCTGACTCCACCCTGGGAAGAAGGCGGGGGAGGCAAGTATGCCGGCGAGCCCATTGTCATCCTGGGTGGTGCTTCAGGCGTCGGTCAACATGGTAAATTTGTTTCATTCAGCTCACCTCCATGTGTGCTGACGTTAATGTTTCTCATAGAGATAGAGTTTGCAGAGATATCTGGATTCTCTCCCATCATCACGACTGCTTCGTTGAGCAACGAAGAGTACATCAAGTCCCTCGGTGCAATGCATGTCATCGACCGGACCCTGACTTTGTCAGAACTCCCTGCACACATCATGCAGATCACAAACAAACCCGTCAAGTACGGCTACGACGCGATTGCCGTCCCAGACACACAGAATGCGCTCTATGACGTAGTCGCGCCCAGCGGACAACTCGTCGTTGTCAGGAAGCCTGCCATAGACGAGACGAAGCTTGCGAAAGGCGATAAGTACATTGCACAGTTGCTCGCAGATGTCCAGCTGCCGGCCCAGCAGGAGGTCTGTGGGAGTCTGTACGCACATCTCACCCAGATAGTCGAAGCCGGGGAAATCAGAGTTTGTCATGATTTTGCTCTAAATGTGTGAGGAGCTGCTGACGCGTGCTATAACATGGCCTACGAGGTTAGAGGTGTTTCCAAACGGTCTTGCGGGAATCCCTGAAGGTCTGCAGAGACTGAAGAGGGGAGCGGGCGCACTCAACTTTGTTGCCCGGCCCCAAGAAACTCCTTCAGTTGATATTGTTAGCGCACCAATAGCCCTGTGTTTCTTCGCTGCCGTCTAAGGCAGGACAAAAAGCTAAAAATTATACTAGCCCTCGCATTTGAATGCCAAAACAAGAATTCTCATTATATGCTAGAAGTTGGCCAAGGTCTCGTGTGCTCCAAAGTATGATAGCTTTCGTAGACAGCATATTCACGAAAATGTGTGACGCTGACAAGCCACTCTACTTCTGTCACGTTCCCTCAAACCTTTGACTCGTCGCCCCTGCACGAAGACAATGCTCAGCACAGCGTGAGATGACTGCACTGTAAGGTGCGTACCTATTATTGTGCTGCCATCAGATCTGCTTCATCTAGATCGAAAAACGTTGGCTGCAAGAACCTCCCGTCTGGCATGCTGGGATCGTATTGAACGGTAACGGTCGGATGGATATTCACGGCCTCCATGACCTTGGCAGAGAGAGCATGAAAGTGCGCCTCTGAATAGCCTTTCCCGCAAAGTACCTGGAACTGGTGCAGCCGTGGGAGAACGGGCAGAAGGGAGGTGACCGCAGACCAGTCGCAGGAATCATGATAGAAATAGTCGAATTGCAACTCGTCGCCTGAGTCGGCAAGGGCGATGTCGCTAACAGACCAAGTCTCGTTACCAGCGCCGTTGCTAGAAGGTGTAGTTCCCGCGCGCACAATTTGGACTGAGATGTAAGCGCATGTTCTTAATATGCCATTAGATGAAGGCCCAGCCCGTAGAGAACCAATAAACTTGTAATTATCTTGAGAGTATCTCATGAGTACGACGAACCAGCGGTATGATGAACAAAATTCACCTGGAGTTGCTTCTGTGACATGGAACAGCGAGTCTCGAAGGGTTATGTCGCAGAAAAACATCCGCATAAACTTGATGATGGCCCATGTCTCCGCAGGGACCGCCAGATCTATAGTTTGACGTCTGGAAAACGAGTGTCGCGTTCCTGCGGCAGCCAGAATCCAAGCGGGAACCGCTACGCCGCTTGTGCAATACCACAATATGATCGAACGGACGTGGCGAAAGGTGCCATTAGAGATATTGCTCGCAATGTCGATTGTCAAGAGGGGGTCGCCTGACCATGTAACGTTCCGAAAATGGACGGCCTCTAAGAAGGTGATATCTCCTAGTGTGCGGAGTAAGATACGGAGTGACGGAAACTCGCAATTATCTAACTTCAGGGTAGTGATGTTCCGTAACGAGCTCTTCAGCTCTGCGCTATATGATATGCGTCTAGGGATTATGTTAGGCGTGAACTGTCGCTGGTATCTCGTGTCAATCCCGCGACATGCCGGCAAGAGGCGAACAAGTGTCATCCAGAGATGAGGGTCCGGGAAGCAAGTATCGCCGAATCTCAACTTAGTGACGTGCTCGGCGAGCCACGCTGACAATGGAGATCGCAGTATACCATAGAGTATATGGCAGTCTTCTCCGCTATTTAGCTTAAGGGAGGTAAAGAGACGAGGACGAAACTGCCGGGACCATGCATGCGAGACTAGGGAGAGTCGTGAGATATCGGCTCTGATATCGGAGTTTGCCAGAAAACCGTAGATACGGTAGTGCAGTTCTGGGGGGAGCTGCTCCCAAGAGCTTTCAAATGCGGGGAAAGGGCCAGAATGGTCACCTGAAGGAATGTGATCAGTCAATCGACCAGCCTGAGGCAATCTCGTTGAATTTGACTCACACCATGCCAACCATTGCCTCCATATATTATCGGCGGAAGGTACAGCAGAATCCATACAATGATTTACGCCGCATGAATATCTTTCCATGGTGGCTAAGCTGTCGAGCAATACTCCAAGAATAGCTAGCTATCCAAAGGAAGAGGCGCGGCGTTGTTCAGCATGTAAATTGGCCCAAGTGGAAAAAAATACCAACATAGTACGCGAATGTCAGAGGAGAATGACTGGATGTGCCTGGAAATCAGCCTTCACACTGTTGTCGCGGGTATTTCGAGCGCAAGCGAACAATAATGGCCGTCGCGCTCCAAGAAGCAACGTGAGGACGAAAATGTTGTACGAAACGTAGTAGGCCGCTGGCGCCTACATAAGCACCGCATTGCGGACTTTACGCAAGATACCAAGAAATCTGGGAATGACTATGTCGCACCGGGCAGACGGTTAGTGCCTCCTAGACTGACCGTCCCAGACCTTCTTTCTCTGCATCGCCACTGGAGATGAGTCAGCATATTTCACTGGGCCTGATGATTCCGAAAGCACTCATATGCTCGCGGCACTCAGTTCCTCTTCGGACTATAGTTCGTGAGCATACACGAGAATCAACTCAACAATGAGAAAGCTGACTGGGCAACTAGACTGCGCAAAGCGACAGAGGAAAATAGCGACACGAAATTTAATGCTCTACTAAGACAGCCGCAAAGCGTCAAGAACGCTCCAGCTTCGTACGCTCCCATCTTCCGCATAGGACAGAAGATCCCAGCCGTTAGGCGCAAACATCACATTCTTCACCTCTCCCTCGTGTCCCTGGAACTCCGCAAAGAATGAACCAGACTTTGAGTTCCACACGCGCACGCGCCCGTCCGCCGCTCCGGCGGCGATGAAATCGTTCTTGGACGAGTACGCCACAGCCTCGACGGCGGTATCGACGTCATCTCCCAACATGAAGCGCCGCTCGCCCGTCCACGAGTTGCACGTGACGACGATGCCATCCTGCGACGCCGTCGCGACCTCGCTCCCGTCAGGTGAGAACGCTGCCGAACAGACCGAGCTCGTGTGCTCGTGCAGCTCCACCAGCACCTCGCCGCTGCTCGCGTCCCATACGCGCGCGCTGCTGTCCTCGGACCCCGTCACGATACGGTCGCTGTTGGGTGAGAATGCCATGCACCAGATTGCGCTGTTGTGCTCAGGCAACGTGGCAATGCGGGCACCTTCACGTGGGTCCCAGACCGTCACAGAGACGTCTGAACACGCAGCAAGACGAGAGCCGTCAGGCGAGAAGACGACGCGTTTGATGTCCGACCCGAGGTCTTCGAAGGAGTAGAGTAGAGCTCCGCTGAGAGCACCCCAGATCCTGAGGGAGTGGTCCGAGGAGCCGGTGGCGATCAGGGCTCCGTCAAGGGAGTATGCAACCGCCATGACGTCCTGTGTATGGACCCTCCAAACGATGTACGATGTCTCCAGTCCCGACGTCCCAAACGAGAGCAAGTGCGTCGGCGGATCCCGAGACAATGTGTTTGCTATCGGGAGAGAAGGCGATTGACCAAATCGTATCCTCGTGCCCTTCGACCCCGAGATGTTGAACGGTGAGGCCATCCTGAAGCCTCCAGACCGTGATGGTGATGTCGTCCCAGGCTGCCGCGAGTAGCTTGCCACTCGGGCACATCGAGACGTACGTTATGGCGCCATTCTCCACATCCTTGTGCTCCAGTTTCAAGTGTTTCCAGTCCACAGTGCGAGCCTTAGTCTGAGAGGGACCAAACAAAACGCGCCCATCGCCCAGCGTTCCCGCTTCTTTGGTGCCAATGTCGGGATACTCTGCCTTGTCTGACTCGGAAGGGTCATGGTTGTGAAACTGACGTTCCCGTTCCCGTTGAACTTTCTCCAGAAGCGAAATCATTCCCACTGTGGGAGACAGAATACAATGAGCTCGTTTCAGCGATGCCATAATCCGTGTAACTTACTGCCTTCTTGAATCTCGATTGTAGGACGCGTCTGCCGCAAGTATGACGCCATATCTTCTGGCCAGGGCTGGTCCTGTAGCGATGCTATCAATCACAACTGAAAGGGTGCGTGGGCAGAGCGACTACTTACCAGAAGGATACTTTCAATATCTTCGTCCGACCCAATGGCCACTTCCGCATCAGAAACCTAAGACGCAAGGTCAGGAAAGGCTTCCCGCGAGCGACAGAACTACTTGCCTCCAGAATATACTCAAGTAAGTCATTCAGAGGCCCTTGGGCAGTACACTACAATCATAAGATCGTTCTTGAGTATCAGCATTCATGAACATTAGAACCAGACTTACGCTCTCAATGTCGTCCATGAACTCGTCCTCATCGGGGACATCTATTGTGGCCACTCCCTCTCCCCCGTCGCCGCTTCTTCCATCGCGGTCGTCCGGAAGTTGGTGGTACCCTGCCGCTGCCCGCAGCCGCGGGAAGATGCCTAACCTCCATTTCACCGTGTATCCGCTGAGGAAGACACACTGATCCTGAGGCTCCGTCTGAGTAGCTGAAGGATACGAGGTCCCAGTTCTAGTGAGCTGCGGGCCTGAGACGATATTGGCCCTGTGGTAGTCGCCGCCCGCGCTGAAATGGGGCCCAACCTGGACGTCGACAGACGCGAAGTACCTTGTCTTTGAGTTGCAGAACGTCGTCGCTTTCCAATTCGGCGACGTCTTAACCCAGCCGTAGACGAAGATGACATTCTCCGGCTGGACTACTAGACCCGGCCCGTCTTTATGATGGCTGATATTCTGGCACCATGTCGTATGATGGTCACGGATATAGCGGCGGAGGCGGTAGTTGTCGAGAATGATCTCTTTCTTTGCGGCAGAATTCAGGACCAGGACAGCCCCTTGATCCCGCTTGCAGGCAAAGCCAGCTTCCAAGCCGCCGCTGCCTGCGCCGCCCGGGCCATATCTGCAGGAACGTGAGATGAAAGCTCGTTTCTCATTACAGCTGCACTTACGCCTCGGCATGAAGACTGCCTGAAGTTTCCTCCACACCATCGCTGCGATACGATCCCGGAATGAGTACCCTATTGCGCACGTCGCGCGACTGCGTGGCGCCCTCCGGCAGCACATCCGGGTTGGGTACAGGTTTATTGAGAAATCCAAAAAACTTCTGATCGCTGTCAAGAACGTTGAACAGCCGGATGAACGCGCCGTCGACTATGTGCCCCACGTCGGCGATTTGCACCTCGCCGGAGGTATGCGGCTCCGGATGCCACAGTGCGTAGCCTTGCCCAACTGTGCGTAGGCATGACGCGTAGACTTCGCTTGGTTGAGGAGGAGGGTCCTTTGGCATGGTGAGATGTCTGAGGAGAGCGATAGAGCGTCACGTACCTTTATAATCCAGACTCGTAAAGCGTGACGTCCTCACCGTGCCCTCGAGGTGCACAGCCCGGTACAGCTTCTTCTGGCTGGTGTTCTCTTCTAGATCGAAAGCGCCGCGACCGAGCTGGAAGACCATACATCCACCTCAGCGAACCGGTATTCGCATATCGTCACAAAGGCACTGAGTCCGTCTGATGCACGATCTCCTGTACCTACGTCCCATGCAATGTGTATCTCAAGCCGGTGCTTTTGTACTTCCTGAAGACGGCGCTTGACTGTGGGAAAGCAGCCTCTGGACGTGTACAGAACCTTATATCGACACCGCATGGCGATGACTGGTAATTGGCTTCGTTTACACCCAACCTTGCCTGAATCACACTGGATTCGGCGCGTTAGAAAGACTAGAAATGTCATTGCAATCGAACGTACCTCCGTTACTCCGCTTTTTCCGCTTCCAAGATTCGTAGGCTTAGAATGTTCCAAACGACCTCTCTATGAACGTGTGCTTCGCCTTTGAGAACGCCAGGCCGACGCTCATAGATCTCATCTCGAAACGGTATATGCCTGTGTGCATTGCACGACCCGTGAGCTTCTATTATCCGCAGAGTAAATGGAACTAAATAGAACACTTACCTAACACCTAGCAAAGCCCCAGCGCGACCGCGCCCATCTTGGTGCTGCCCCTTGTAATCGCAATCTTCCCGAAAATAGCTCGTCCACTCCAATGCTATCGACAGTCGTGTCATTCCTAACAAATCTGGGGCGAGAGGTGCCGTATTCGTTGGGTGTTACCGCGACTGAGGCCATGAGCAGAGCATGTATGGTAGTTAAAACGTGCCTGGAATGGCCATTGACGGGGATGCGGTAAGCAGTCTGGGGTAGAGAGATAATAATTCATTCGAGGCTTTGCTTTGGGTGGGAGACAGCGTACGGGCGATCGTACGTCGTGGAGCCGATGACAGCTGAGCTGTGCTCTCCATCTGCTGGTTGCTCGTCATGTCGCTCTCCGCTGAGGGTCAAGCACAGGCGCACCTTCTGAAGGATGCTCAGGGATGCGATGACCAGAGCAGGCCAAAAGGCTCTCCTGACCTCGGTAATATAGTGTGATTCAACACCCACGCAATAGAGCTTGCCTTCGAGCCCATTTCGTCCCTCTGCGCTTGCGCTGCCACAGAATTTGAGCGGTACCGTTTGTTTAATGATGTCTGATAGCCATTGGGCGGTACGAGACGGCGAGAGGCGGTGAATATGCGAAACGGGTGTGAGCCTGCGTAAAGGATGCCAGAGAGGTCAATGAACAAAGCATGTAAGCGCGGTTTGTTTTGGTGGAAATCCATCCAAAAATTGTTAAATAACCATAAATGCTTCCACGGCATATTGAGGTAAAAGTTGGGTACAAAACCGGCCTAAAACGTGAGGTTCCGTCTCTGACTTTTCTCAAGTAACTGGAGAAACTTGTTTAACCAGATTTGACTAATTACGCGGGAAAGTGCCTTTCACCTTGACGCATCCTTACTATTTAATCCTTGATAAGGAGCCATTCAAAATCCTTATTACTGCGAGAAAAAACCTTCAGGCGAGCTCTCGGCGCTGCCCCGTGTCATGAATATTACACAATCCAGATGGTTCTCCCGGATTCTATAGTATTCTTTCACTTTCCATACACCTCCGTATATTCGTAGGATATTCTAGATATTCAGTCTGACATGTATATAAGGAGCTCGTATTGCTCAATAACAAGCCAGACTCGAGCTGGTCTTTTCTCACTCACATTCCTCTTGTCTGTCTCCTCAGCTTTGTCGTAGCTCAGTCCAGTTGGATTGTTAGTTGCTGACATTAGCTCGAGTCTCCACCAACTGCCCTACGACAATCCTCGTCACTCCCACACCAACCATCACCCATCTCCACACGACGATCCACCCTATAAGCACATCCGACTCTCACCCTAAATCCTAACCCTACCGAACTCTACCGCATCAGACCCGGACCCCTGGAACCCTTCTCTGTGCATTTGCACAACCTTTTACCATACCACATCCCCGAAGTCACCTCTGTAATCACTAGCCCTTAGGCGGCTAGACAGAGCTCCGTCCATTAGGATCCGTACACTGCCCTA